AAATCTCCATTTAATCTTTGCCTGTCTTGTACAGGTAAATCCTCATTTAGTAACCACAATTTAGACTAGTGACTAAGTTGTTACGCAAAATAAATTGCTAAGTGAAACTGTGATTGTGCTGATTATCTTATTTCTAATTTTCTTTCCTTACAGACCTGCAAAGGTCATAAGTGCAAGGATTGGTTATGAATTTACTCTTTCATAACCATCATAACTGTAAATGTTTGTTAAATGAGGCAATTGTTAAACAAGCACTTCCTATATATGATTTCTCATGAATCCAGACTGCAATATTTTAAATGGACAGTGCATTTCTAGAAGATGGGAACATATATATCTTTATCAGAATGCTATCTATATTGACCATTAATGATGTATCACCTATTAATAATGACTAAGTATATGGCTTTGAATATAGATAAAAATAATATAAAATGATGGTTTATTTGTCATTATGTTTATTATCATACCCCACCCCACCCTGGATTTCAGGACAGCAGTATTGAAACACATATTTACTAGTGGTTTGATAACTAGATTCATTTAAGAGACTGTGATTAGGCCTAAAGCTATGCATCTAGATCAAATATTCTGGATTAAGTATCACTGTATCTTGTCTGGCAGGAAGTTGTACTGAGGTTAAAATGGATTTTGTTATATATGGTTTGAATTCATACCTCATAGGTACAGTTTCTAAGAAGGAAATCCAAGCCATTTTAAATGGCTTGGTATGTTTTACTAACGTTTTATGAAACTAAATTGCCATTCAGTATGATTTCATTTCTCATAGGTACATGTTTAGTGTTGAGGATTTTAACATTTAGGGAATCATTAGTTTTCCTGTCTTTTACCTTTTCCAAAGGGCTAAACTATCAGTGCATTTGTATCTTCTTCTTCCTTCCACCACAAAGTTTCCTCACCTATTTAATCTTCAGAAATTACGGTGTTTTCTGGCATAACTTTACATACATTTTAAAACCAAAAAGTGTTGTTTTCAGCAAGCTGATCTTGTCTTCTAGTCATTACCTACTTGTGCAACATGCTAGGCAGCCCTGTGTAAAAGTGAACCCAAGCTATAGCATGCTTAATTTACTAAATAAGAGACATATTTGTCCAGTGCAGTTGCCATGTTGGTGAAACTATTTACCAACAATGTACTATATACTCCAAATGCTCTTCTTTGATTATTAGTTCTAGGTTTTCACCCCTGGTTGTTCTGCTTATTATATCTGAAGAAAAGGTATTCATCTGAAATGCAAGTCATTCTCAGTCATGCTACCCAAGAACTGAATATCTGAAACCGATTTATAATTTGAAAAATCTTCAGGCAGAAATCCAGCTTAAACTCAAGAAAGCACTGGTCACCTGTTTCACTTGTGGATTTTTTCCCAACCTGGTCAATTTAGTCAGATAGAAAGGGAAAGAATAATAAAAGTCACTAATGGTGTCGTCTCTTGACATACCATAACTATGTTCTCCAGATCTAAATGTTAAAAATAATAGCCAGGAACCTGTCAAGCGGTTGCCTTCCCAACAGTGGTATCCAGAAATAATTGAATCCAATTGACCTTGTCTGTAAAGGATGATAAAAAAAATGTTCATGGCAAGCTTACAATTGTTCCAGCTGTGTTCCCAAACATTGCATATAGAGCAGATGTCACACAGTATGGGAAAATATCATTGGTTCATTCTGCCCAAACTTGGCAGCATTTACTGCTGTGTAGTGGGACTTCAAATGGATCTGACAAATGGCCCATTCTGAGTTCAATCTGATTCATCTCAAAAGTTCTCCACTCATGCTCCAACCCCCTATGTATCTTCTGTTGTTCTCACTTTTTCTATAAACAGTTTGAGCTCTATTACAGGGAAGAAGGCACTTAAGAATAATAGTATCAACCAACTAAGTTATTTCCTTGTCCCACTGATTGACCAGATCTTCTACATGGTTGCTGACAGACAAAGTAATTTCCCCAAGCCTATTAAGAAAACCATTCTGATCTGTCAGGTATCAGATTGTCTGTCCAAGATGGGTTTATAGCAGCAAATATTTGTAATCTCTGAATCATGGTTACTTAAATGAGTCACAGAATGTTCAAATGTAACAGATATTTCAGTGATGGAAACTACAATACAATTCAGAATCCCCTTCCTCAATGAACAGTATGATAGCAAAATTGAACAGAAAACTTCTGCTTGGTCTCCGTAGCAAAGGGAGGATTCCCTCTAATGCTATCTTTTCTGCTAATACCAGAAGACAGTGTAAACATGTATCCTTTTTTTTTACTTTGGGAACAACCCCCATCCTCACAGCTGTAATGTATTCCACACCTGCAATGGAACTCATAGCTTCTATGTTAGTCACAACACAGGACAAATTAGTCCAGCATAAGCTTCAGTAGGAAAGCAGAATCATTCAAACTGGACTTAACAAGAACAAACCATATGGATATCTCATAAGACTTAAAGTAAGGTCTTGTGTTTACAGCATTATAATAGGGTTAAATAATTGGTTGGGTTATGCCTCTATTTTCACAAAGTGCAACCTTAGAAAAATATTGGGAAAAAACGGAATCAGCTGATTTCTGAAGTTTTATGTATCTATGATTCAAGATTTTGTTTTCTTTACAGACACTTTAATAGGAGGAGGAATTCAGTATCTCTAGTAAACATGCAAATGTTCAGGTAGCAGAATGTACTGCAGAAGATGGTAAGCCCTCATGTCCAGCCACTCAAGTGCCATTTCACAGAAAAGTTTATTTCTGTTGATAATTGAATTTAGGACTATTACATATTTTCAAAGTTCTGTCATTTAAACCACTGAAACAATGTCTTAAATGTACACATATATAGCACCCAAAGAGCTTTCAAGTTGAACATAATCCTTGGAATAAAATTGAGATGATACAGAAAACCCCACTCTCTTCTAGCACTGATGATGTTACCTCATTGGGTAATGAAATGTCTGCAAGTAAACAACCAAGATCAGAGAGCACCAAGGAGCCCACAGTTCAGCTTTGAGCTATGAACACTCTCTTCTATCGGATGTTATAATATTTTCCATTTTTAGTTGATGAGAAGTATATATGTAGGTCTGAAACAGCATTTGATTCATCATGATCTGTTGGGATAAACATGTTTTCACAGCACTCACTGATGTATTCAGCAGACCCACCCCAAATAAAATTTCATTTAACTCAATAACTGCAATACAAATAGCAAGCATCTGCATAGCAAACATGTCTACATAATCACAGTATTAATATACTATTATTTTATTTTTATGTACAATATTAATAACATATTTAAATCAGATCAGAGAAAACAACTTTTTATACTGTGTGTAGTGCAAAAACCAAAGATTCTCTTAGCAAACATGGAAGTTTCGGAGCCTGGAGAGAATGAGGAAGCGATCTCAGACAATAAATTTTGGGTGAACCAAAAGAATAGCAAAGTATTATTTATTCATATCATTATTGTAATTTATTAGCTAAACAGGTGTGCTGGGATTCTTTTTCTGGATATCAGAATATTCTTCCTTGCTCCACTATTTTGCTGCAATAGGATCCCAATTTTAAATTTGTCTTTAAACTCAATTGCTATTCTTAAAACACTCCATGTTGGAAAGTCTCACATAACATATTTTCTTTTTTTTTTGAGCATGTATGTGAGCAGGAAATATTAATACAGTAAATTTTCCATGTGGCCAGGCAATGAAAAGAATTTCTAGACTCTAGCTTCCTTTCATTAGATCTCCATCAGTGTAAACTCTCACTGTCCCTTTGTTCAATAAAATGAATTCCCCAATAAAGAAGAACACCAAATACTGAAAAAAACCCTGGGGATTGTACTCCAAACAAAACTCTGTAGTACTGTGAACTGAATCTTGTTTCATGTATAGGGCTGTAGCAATTGCTTTCACTGCCTCACTTGGATGCTCTGAAGATGCACTATTTTTCCACAGGTTGCCATGCAAAGGAAAGTTGGAATTGCACAATAAATTGTTGGCTATAAGAAGACACTTCAAGGGCAACCACTATTTCACCAGTACTTAAAATAACTTAAATAGATTGCTTGTAGCCAAAGCTTGCTCTATGCCTTATTTAAGCTCTACTGTATTGTTTTCAGGATCCTGTTTTCCTAGGAAAACCAATGCAGAACATAGTTTCAAAAGCAACAAGAACAACTATAAGACTTAAGAGAAAGAGTTACATAATCTCTTACATGCAGTGGTTATGTAACTCAGAATTTCCTAATAAATGTTCTTCAACTCTCTTCCACTGTGAGGAGTTCATATTAGGGTGGTTTTTTTAAATATTATACCTCCCAACAGTATGGCTTCTTCTTTTCCCAAATATTATCTCTTCTTTTGCAATTGAGTTTCCAGTTTATCTTTTGCATAATTAATGATCTAGCATATATATGATTAACCATACAATCTAATGTGTGTCTCCTTAGAAATAATCCCTCTGCATATAGTGGGGCTTACTCTCAGCGAAATGTCATCTAATTAAATGTAAAAACAAAAATAGTTTCCTTTTTAATTTGTACCTGCTAGAAATCACGACAGTTACAGGAGAATTTTAATTCTGAGCTATTGCTAGACAAGATTGTTGCATTTGTAGATGAGTCTCCCCAAACAACTTCAATGTACATAGAGAAAGATTGTCCAAAAAAACCTGTTTCAGACAACCTGAATCCAAACCATTTAGGTAGGCTTAATATTAGAGCTCCTTTTAGAAGAGAGTATTCCTTAAAAATTATGACTTTGCAAATAACACATTTACCTTTATTCTATATTATTTGTCATCCAGGTTATATGTCAAACATGCATTTCAGTCATATCATCAGCTACATTTTTAATAAATACCCAATACCATAAAGCTCACCCTCCTAGTTCTAATAAAATAAAGTTTTACAAATTAAACTTTTAAACATTTAATATCAGTATTTTTATAATAAATATTTATTTTATATTAGTTTTCATTGGATTTTCAACTTACCTCTACAGATAGGAATTGGAAAATCCCAGGATGCTGTATTTACTGAACTGGCTATACAGGTAAGTTGGGGGTGACCATCTAGGATGTAGCCTGTCACGCAGTTATATCGGATTTTGTCACCAACATCAAATTGTGTTCCATATAAAATACCTTTGGATGGCGTTCCAGGATTTCCACAAGAACTGCTCTGTAATTCTATAAAAGTAAAGTAAAGTAAAGTAAAATAAAGTAAAGAAAAGAAAAGAAAAGAAAAGAAAAAGAATTACAACTAGAGCTCATTGTTTAAAGTGCTCTTACGTACAAGCCCAATCAATTATGTCTTTCTCAAGATATTACAGTATGGGGAGCTTCCGGTGGATCTGCGCGCGCGATGGCGGCTACTTTGTAGCCGTCCTCCTGGGTAAGTGTTTGAATTGCTATGAACAGCGGACATCAGCTGTTCAGCGGTTCAAAATCCCCCTCCCGGGCAAAGGGAGGGGGAAGAGGATTGTCTGAATAGAGGTAGAGCCTCTTATGCACCCCCAAGGCTTTTTTTGGGGGGGTGAAAAGAGTGCTCCCACGGAGTTCAGATTGTCTCCGCTTCCCAGCTGCTTTTGTCTCTAGGGACAAAACAAGCCCCTGCAACCGCGATTAAAGTGATCTGGTGAGTTTTTCTTAGAAGCGGACAGAGCTGAGTAGAGGATTTTGCTTTTGCTTCCTCTGATCTTATTTGGATTTTAAGTTTAAAGATTTACTTTTATTCCCTCTTTTTGCTTTTTTCTTTTGTTGAAAGGAATGACTGGAATGTGTATTGGATTGATTATTCATAATGATCTGTTGATGTTGGGTTTGGATTTTAGGAGGATTATTTCTCCTGTTTAACTCCTTTTATTCTTTGAAGGTTTTCTCTATTTATTTTTATTCCCTTTTTTTGTTTTCTCTTTTGTTGAAAGAGAAAGTAAAATGGCGATCGGCAGGCTTTTTGGTATTTTTTTTTAATGATTGGAACGGAATGGAATGGACTTGTTTATTTATAATGATTTTTTTTTTTGATGTTGGGTTTGGATTTTAGGAGGATTATTATTTTTGTTTAACTTTTTTATTTTTTGAAGGATTTTTTTTGTTTCGTCTTTTGTACTTTAAAAAAAATGGAATGGATTTTTTCTATTTAATCATTTTTTTTCTCTTCCCCTTTTCTTTTTTTAACTTTTTTCTTTTTATTATAATGATTTCTCTTTGAAGGATTTTTTGGAGTTAATCTTTCTTTTTCTTTTGTTTAACTTTTTCTTTCCTTTTTTGGGTAATTTTTAAGAAGGAGTAAAGATTTTTTAAGATGGCTCCAAAGCGTTCAGCAATTCCTACAGCTCCTAAGGTGGTTTCTTCTTCAGCCCAACAACCTAAATCAATAGCTTCACCCTCTTCTTTGGCACACTTAATAACGGTGAAGGATTTGCAAGACATAATATGAAATGCTATATCTCAAATTAGGGAAGAAATGAAAGAGATTTCAGAGGAAAATAATAGGATTTTGAGACAAGAGATAGTTTTGGCTTTAAAAGGAGTTGCCTCTGTTCTTGAAAAGTTGAATTCTCGTGTAGAAGAGGTTGAAGAAAAAGTGGAATTGATGGAGGGAAAATTTGAAAGTATGGAAAAAGAGATGGAAAATTTTCAAGATGAGATTCTTATGCTTCAATATAGACAAATGGAATATGCTTTAAGAATTAGAGGCTTGAGAGAATCTTTGCAAGGAGATCTGAGAGAGATGGTTGCAAATGATTTTGCTGTGATTTTGAATAGAGAAAAAGAGGAAATACTCTGTGAAATTGAAAAAACATTTAGAGTTAATTCCGTGGTGGCAGAGCAAAGGAATTTGCCAAGAGATGTGGTAATTTATTTTGGGAAAAGATCCCTGCGCAACGAAATTATACAAGCTTTTTATAAGAAGATGTTTCAAATTGCTTCACAAGATGTTATAATTCTAAAGGAGATCCCATCTAAAATTTTAAGAAGAAGAAAGGAGTTTGCTTTTTTAGCAGACGAACTTAAAAAGAGGCGAATGTTGTTCAGATGGGATGTTCCGACTGGAATGGTGGTGAATTACCTGGGGACATGTTATAGACTTAATACAGTTTTTAAAGCAAAAGAGTTTTACACTTCGGTCCTGGGATTATGTTTATCGCCATCCATTATGTTCAAAGTTTTGGAAGAGAAGAAGGTAGAATTGCAGTCTGAAGAGCCTATATTTATGAAAAATGGGGAGGGGCCTCAACAAGTTGAGATGAAGGAGCAGAGGATATCCCGTGCAACATATAAATGTAAAGAAAAGGAGCAACAGAAGAAGGAGGTTAAGGAAGCCTCACAAGTATTGGTTTCTGAGTCTGTGGGAGAAGCAAGATTTATAAACTTTTTGGAGCAACCTTCAAGGGTAGAATTGCAGCCTGAAGAGCCTACATTCATGAAAAATGGAAAACCTCAGTTCGAGGGACCTCAACAAGTCGAGATGAAGGAGCAGAGGACAACTTGTGCAACATATAAACGTAAAGAAAAGGAGCAACAGAATAAAGAGGTTAAGGAAGCCTCACAAATATTGGTTTCTGAGTCTGCGGGAGAAGCAAGATTTACAAACTTTTTGGAGCAACCTTTAAGGGCAGATTTCACTTCTTTTGAGGTTTTTGGATAAGAGAGATTGATAAGGAATGTATAGATTGTTTTTAGGTTATTGATAGATTATAGTTCATTGTGAATGGAATTGGTTATTGGTAAAGAGGAGAGAAGATTATGGAGATTGTATGAAAATTTTAGATAAGAAGTTTAAGTTTAGTAGTTTAAGCAGTATTCAAAAGAGTATTTTGTTTTAATGGTATAATGAATGCTTATATGTTTATTTTTGTGTTTTAGGATAAAGAAAGAGGGAGAGATTAGATTTTATATTGTATGTATAGATATCTAAGGAGTATTTAAAGGAACATCTTGCTTTAAATATGTATAAGGGAATTTTAATGTTTTAAGTAATGCTTACATTTGTGTTTTTGAGGGAGTTTATAAAGAATGATGGATAATAATATAACTATGACATTAGAAAATGTTTAGAGTATATTATAATCTGTTTATATATATTATTTAGTTTTTCAATAATTTATATTTAAAATTTACTATTGTTAATTATTTGATAACTTGCTTAATTAGTGTATTTAGATTTGTTTAGGATTTATATGTATTTTAAGATTTTTTGAAAATTTTTAATAAAGCCTGTATCCAGCTCTGGGAAGGTTGGGGGAGGGCATGGGAGGATTGGGGAGGGTATGGGAGGGTCGGGGGTGGGGTGGGGAAGGGAATTGTTTTGTAAAACTTAAAAATTTTTCAATAAAAAAAAAAGATATTACAGTATGGTACACAATCCCTTTTTTGTTGTGTTTCCATTAGCTTGCATTCCAAATGGTGCTAAGGTATGTTTCCTTAAAGATCCACATTTATTGTCATGAATTTATTTTTCATAATTATGTATTTCATTCTCTATCAATAATTTTCTAAAATTATAAACTGACTTTTTTATTTGTTTTCAGTATATATTGTATATCTCCCAAAAAAATGATTCAGCTTTAACAAATGTATACCTTTTTAAAATGTACACCTTCCAACATGAAATTATAACTGGAAAAAGAATTTCAGAGATACTTTATTGGATTCGCTCTCTAGAAACACAGCTATCATTGGAATATTCTTAGAATTACATAGAATAATAGAGTTCTAGACCAATCTCCTGCTCAAGCAGGAGATCCTATACAATTCCTATTACAGCTCTCTCATTTTTCTCTAATAACTCATTAGAAGTTCTTGAATTATTAGGAATTTTCCTAATTGTTTCCTGTCCTGCCTGTTGAACAAAGCCTGGAATTTACCTAAACTGTTTTATTGATTTAAAGCTATTCTCATAAACTCCCCTTTTAGTTGATTACTGGTTTAAGTTAACATCTCTGTTTTAAAACTAGGAAGAAAAGAAAATTATTCCAGATGTGACAGCAGATCTGCATGTTCTTTGTCAAAAGAAAAAGCTACTGAATAACAACAAGAGCAATATATTGCATAGTATTTGAATATTTAATCTTACTGCCAAGTCTTGCCATTATGAATAATGTTTTTCCCCTCTTAATGAAAAGCATTTTTAAATCATCATGATAACCAGGAATAGTTAATTGTATAGTATATGGTTATATTAAAGCTGTCCCAAAAATATGAACATATGAATAAGGGAAGCTACCATACTAAAATTTACATTTCTATTTAAAAATGGAATTCATGCTATTTAGTCAAAGATTAAATTAGTTAAGATTAGCCAAAATGTTAGAGATAATGTAAACCAGTTTCAGAAATTAAAACTTTCTGACATTAAAAATAGTTTAGAACAGGGCTCCCCAATCCCCTGTCCATGGACTGGCACTGGGCGTGGCATGCCAGAAAGTGGGCTGTGCAAACAAGTGATGCAGGCAGCACACAAAACTATGTCCCCTCTGGTCTGTTGAAAAACCTCTCTCCACAGAATAGGTCCCTGGTGCCCAAAAGATTGGGGGCTGCTGGTTTAGAGTATACAAAAAATACATAATGATTAATACAATTCCTAAGTCCTAAAGAAAGAGAAAGACATACCTAGGTATTTTTTTTTCTTTAAGACATAAAACTTAAATTCATTTAAAAGAAAGATTTGGAATTAATGTACTTTTTGCTGCATCAAGAGGTTTTTTTTGTGAAGAAAGAATCTTTTTTGCAGGTTTCTGAGTGCAGTTCAAAACGGCTTTTCCCCATATTTTATTAATTACACATGCCCATTGATAACATGATAAAGGAGAATATGAAGATGAATTGGATAGCACTAAACTGACCCAAGCATACAAAACTTTGTCTTGCTTAAGCAACTGCATTTGTTCTTAAAATATGAAATCCGACAACTAATTACAATGAAGAACATTAACCAGATTTATAATTTTAACTAATTATTTTTCACCTGAGATGCAATTCTAGGCCACAAGCACAAATAATTAGACCCAATCCATTAATTAAAGCTATTTGCCAAAAGACTTTGAAATTACTGTAAACTGCATCTAGCAATTGTAGCAATTTATTCAACCCAAACTCACCAATCCATCCTTTTACTTCATTAGACACTATGAGCAGTTAAAACATGACTAACTCTTGAAAGAATAATTTTTGTTCCTTCCAGT